AGAACTCATTGTACATGATATTTGAATATCTTTTAATGCCCATAAACCACGAAGAAGTTTTCGACATTCATTTCGAAATACTCGACCAGTTAAACAATAAAGTACAAAATTTATCTAAAAGCAAAAAGATTTTATTTGAAAAAATTAAAATAAATATATATTTACTGTATGATTAAAATACATTAACGTAGTTGTGACAAGTTCTGCTATTTGCCATTTTACTGTTGATTCTTGTGGAGTACGTAAATCAGCAGTAAATGCACGTATTGATGGTGGTAATGTACAAAGAACAGATATAAATGATATTAATAATAATAAACATGTTAGACGTATTCCTGTTGCACTTGTAGAATCAAATAAAACTTGTTGAGATTTTTGTTGAAAATTATTCTTATTTAATCCATTATGATATATTCGACCTTGTTGAATAAATGAACGACCAGCTGGACTAGATTCTAAATAAAATTCATTCTTTTAAAAACAAAAAAACACCAAAAGATCATGTTTATCGATATCGATCTTTTTCTCTAATTTCAAAATTTCAGTAGAATGTATGGAAATTTCTACCCAGTATTTTTCTTTCGAGAGTGCGATGGCGATTTCTGGGAGGGCGAAAACCGAATTTCTAGAGAACAAATACATAGTATGAGTACAAAAATTGCAATTTTCGGAAAGGCAAAATCGTTCTCTGGGTGGGCGCCGCCATCTCTGCTCTCTCTCTAGATAAATCACCGGTTCTACCCTTAGTATGTCTGTAATATATTACGTATTGTTATCAATGACTAGTGTATTCGATATATCGCTCAGACAATTATAATAACCATGCTATGGCTAACTTTTATTATATTTGAAATACTAACCGGCTGATCGACTACGAAAAAATTGTGTACGAGTTGATGATGAACTTTTTGTTTTTTGATTAAATGTTCTTGTATATGTATCGGTTGTTGGTAAATAACTATTTGCTTGTAAATAAGTTCTTCTTTGTTTTAAAGCATGAAATATTGTTATTATAATTGAAATATTAAATATAAAAATAAATATTGATGGTATGACACTATAGAAACATAAATCAATCAATGGTAATATATGTCGATGTTTCTCATTATCAATAAGATCACAAACACGATAATCTGGATCATAATATTTATCAGTTTGTAAAAGAGGACTTAAAACACCCATTGTAAAAAAGCCATGTGCTGTATAAATTGAAAAAAATATTATAATTGTTAATGTTACTGTATATGCAATACGCAGACGACATATACGAATTGATTGAATTGGAAAACGAACAACTATAAAACGTTCAAATGTTACAGCAACAATAAGCCAAGCTGATATATATGTAAATAAATGTTTAAAATAAAAGTTTAAACGACAAGAAATTGTTCCATTCAGTTGTGGCTTATATTGAAAAGCTAATCCTAAAAAGTATAATAGACAACCTGAATAAAGGACACATATGTCTGTAATGGCTAATAATCCTAAATATAAATAAGATGAAAGGCCACGACGTGAACGTCGAAACATAATTATTGCTGATAAAATATTTCCAAAAAGACCAAATATAAGGAAAAAAGCTAATAATATAATAAAGAACCATTTTTGAACACCTTGAACACCTAAATATTGTTGTGGTATACAATTTGGTGGATGTATAAGAAGAATAAAAGCTTCACGAGTCATGTTTCTTGATTCATAAGTTGAAGGATGCATATCTTTTATTAACGCTGCAATCTGTTGACATGTTGTTGTACGTAATACTTCTTGACTATTTGTAAGATTCATTTCATTCTCCATTATTTTAAATTAAAAATAAGAATAATCTACAACAACAAGAAAACAAAAAGAAATCAAAATCTCATCTCATCACTATATTGACAGGATTATAAAGGGCAACAACTGTCTATACTTTATCAATATATAATTAACGCATTCTTGTCTGCTTCAGATCGAAAAAATATGTGGATGATGAAAAAATACAATAGAGAAAGAACAAAAAAGAAAGGGATTTGTATATTTGTGCAAGATCATGAACTTACTTGCTTTTTATTTCCATAATTTGCTTATGTATGCATTCCACAGCTTGAGAGATTGACTTGCATGTTTATATAAAGCCAAAAAAATATTAGGAAAACAATCGTTAGTAAGCTAGAATAATGATAATGACGTAGGATGTTTGTTATTAAGTATTATTGAGAGAAAATCAAAAAATAAAGATCAAGGAAAACTTAAAAGATTGATATTGATAGGAAATTATCATGTACATCTTTTATTTATAAAATAAGATGATGTAAAAGAGTATAGAATACTATTTAAAAGAAAAAAAATGACTATGTCATACAGAAGATATATACTTAATTTACTACACTTTTGCTATCAAATATTTACTTCTTTCTATCAATGTCCTGTAAATAATTGCACTTGATAATAAGCTTTTTTCCTCGACAATATAATAATTACATGACATACTTTTTCAATCGATTAATTAGATAATATTATCATATTGCAAAAATTCTTTTGTTGTTATTAACATATATTCAGTAACAGATATTATCGCCTTAGACGAATAACATCAATAAAAACATAATTAACAAATCTGTATATGATAAGAAATAAATAAAGTGAGAAATGTATTGTTTATCGTCTAGGTTTATACAACTAGAGATATAAATGTAAAGTGTAACACTTGATATATATCTGTACTTGAAAAAATCATAAATCGAAGAGAATATTTTCTATCATAAAGAGATTTATATATAGAATCTAGACGCCTACTCTTGTGATGTTTAACATGTCATCATATTTTCACATTCACACTTATTTTGTTGATTCCGTTTTTTGATAGAATGATGATCAATACGTGCTTGTATAAGATTCTTGAATTATTACTATTATCAACAAATCAAATATTTCGACATTTTGTTATTTTTTTCTATTTAGAAATAGAATTTTTATTTTCATGTAACTATATGTTTCAGTAAACAACATTTCTATTGATTATTTTCTGTTGTTAAGAAAAGAAAAAAAAATAGCATGTATGTGGCTGACATTACCACCTCGGTTATATAGACTTTCAATAACAGATAGGAAAAGAAAAGAGAATACGCTCTATACGAGTACACAAATATTCTCATTGTTCTATAGGAAAAAAAAAATTAAACGGAAATGAAAAGAAAACAAGAAAAAGAAAGAAAATTTTTTTTTATTTTACTTTAACTATTTTTGAAAAACATTTGTCGTTAATTTCTTTTTAACAAAAAAAATAAGAAAGTATTTGAACAAAAGTAAATCATCATGAATAACGCGTTTTATATGGCCCAAGCTCAGCAGATGCTGGGAAATAATATAATGAATCCTCAACAACAACAAAAATGGATGGAAAAACCTCTTGGTGATCCCAGTGGACTTGCTTATTTAAAACCATTAGATGCATTATTAGCAAAACAAGTTGTTTCTCTTACTGAAAGTATATAAAATTAATCGATAGGATGTTTTTTTCATATGAAATTATGATAATCTTTTAAGTGATGATTGGACTTCCAACTCAAGCTAAATTTGGAATATTTAATGATAAAGGTGAACAAGTTTATTATGCATTTGAAGGTACACAAGATTTTCTTCATTTTTATGCGTAATATTTTTTTTTGTAGAATCTGATATTTGTCAACGTCTATATTGTCCTAAGACTCGTAAATTTGATCTTCATATTGTTGATAGTACAAATCAAGTGTGTATAGAAGAAAGAAAAGGAATTTAGTTATTTTTTATAAATATAATTATGTTCAGGAAATAATACGAATTAAACGAGAATTTAAATGTTGTTCCGGTTGTTGTTGGTGTGCTTGTTGTGAGGGATGTAGTCAAGAAGTAACTGTTGAATCACCTCCAGGAACTGTCATAGGCTTTGTTTCACAAGAGTATGTAACGAAAAAAAATAAAACTAATTAATTAATTAATATTTATTTATTTTTAGATGTAGTTGCTGGCGTATGCATTATATTCTTAAAGATGCTTCACAAACTCCAATATTAAAGATTGTCGGTCCTGGATGTATTTGTGATGGTCCTTATACTTGTTGTTGTGAAAATAAATTTACAGTAAAATATCTTTACATTCATCATAAAATAAATAGATAATTTTATTATAGTTATATGGTACTGATGGAATAACAGAAATCGGAGCTATTCATAAGAAATATCGTGGATTTATTGCTGAAGCTATGACATCGGCTGATAACTTTGCTATTCGAAGTAAAATAGAGAATATTTATCTATGTATACTTATATTTTTATTTTATAGTACCAATGGATATGGATGTAAAAATGAAAGCTGTCGCACTCGGTGCTTTATTTTTAATTGTAAATCTTTTCTTTTTATTTCATTAGCTAAATTTTTCTTTTGTAGGATTTTGGTAATTTCGTTACATCAGCACAGCGGCGTTGATACTCATTATATTTATTTATAATTATTTGCTTTTAAAACTATTTCTGCTTATATTTCAACTTTTAATTAATCATTACGAATAAAAATATATATCAATATTTACTTTTTTTCTCAAGAGTACATTTGCGAATATCTATATTAATAAGGACACATTTTTTTCATATACCTTGATATGTTTAGGAAAAAAGTAAATAATAAACTTCTCCAGTTCATTGACAACTATTTGATTATATATATATATATATATAGATTGTTCTCGTTTAGAAAAAAAATTATAGAATAGCTTATAAGTTTAGCAATAATTTCTTTTATGTTACTATAACATGCATTGTCTTAATTATACAGAGCTTAGTATGACTATAAAAATAATGTATAAAAACGTCATTATTTATTCTACTTCTGAATTTGTATTGTTAAAACAACTAAAATTTCTTACCTTAAAATGATTAGTTGCTATTTGCTGTAGATAATATTCAAAAGGTAGACTTGGATTTTATGAATATATAATCATAATAATATAAACTCATATATATAATGTAATATTTCTCCTATCTGTGAAAAAAAACACGTGAAAGGATATCATTACTCTACCTTTATTATATTAATCCCTACCAGAGAGTACGTGATAGACGGATGTGGATTAATCGGAACTGTCATGCACTTCAAAAAAACAAGAAACATCGCTATAAGGCTTTAATTTTTGTTTGAAGAATATAAATCTAATGACTATTCGTTGAATAAAAGAAAAAGTACTGTATAATTAGTATGTTTTCATCAATAGAAATAGTTAGATTTATATTCTTCGATAACATTTATCTCAATTGAAGAAAAAAAAATAGAATCTTAACAAGCTTGTCTTAACATACATATTTGAAGAGTCTTTTTATGAATTAATAAACCTCTATTGTTTTTTAGTAATATTTAACAAATAATTTTACAATATTATATATCACAATTATTTACTTCAAGCTTAACATAATATTTGTACTCAATAATATTTCTATTTTTAATATAATTAAAAATCTGATTGAAGCATGCTTAACGTAACGTTAACGTGTTGAATTCTTTTAATTATAGATTAACAACATAGAAACTATATGTTAACGACGATGATTTGTTTTTGTAATGTGCAATTTGAATAATATGATATAAAAATAAGTTTACTAATATTTATACTCATTGCACTTTCAGTATAATTATTCTCCTTAGGGAATAATGGTAATACATCGCAGGTATCTTTTTTAATGAATAATCATAATGTGTTTTGTTATTATTTTATGTAATATTCTTTTCTGTTCTTTAAATGATTATTTATCGAGGTCACAGTTAATACTATAAAAGACGTACAAAAGAGTAGTAGTAATAATTATTCGATTTAATATTACCGATATAACAAATATTATATCTCAACAACAAGTTATTGTAAAAGCTTATTACAATGATCTTAACGAACGACAATTTGAAATTCGTCGATTTTCTGAAAGTTTATTTTTTTATTATTATCCGTTAATATTTTTTTTTATTTAATATAGCTCGATATTTCATCGAATAATAATATCTATCAAATATTGGAAACAATAATTTACATTACAATATATTGATGAAGGTAATTTTCGTATAACATTTAGCTTTAAAAAATATGTCTCCGAATCGTAATATCAAAATTTTTCTTAAACCAAAATTGAATAGAAATAAATAAGTAACGGAGAATATTATCGTTCAGATGGGTATCATCTGTAATGGATGTCAAGGTTCAGTTGTTGACAATCGTTACAAGTATATTTTAAGAATTTATATTAATAAACTTTTTTTAATCTATAAAATTTTATTTAGATGTATGGAATGTTAAAACTATGATTTATGCCAAACATATTAGAATAAAAAATCTTCATTCTGAACATAATATGTTAAAATTAATACGACCTTTTTCTCATCATCGATGTAGACGTCGAGCTTATTTCATACGATAAGAACATCAACCTGTTGATCTCTATGTACCATCGAATAAAACTAATTTTTCCAATCAATTTCAACGAAAAGAATTATGTAAACTAATTGAAGCTCATGTGCCGACATATATACGTACAGAAAAATCCAGTGACATCTTCAATCAACTTAAAACTGATAAACTTATCAATGGAAAAAATTTACTTGAACAATTTCATACATTAATAACATCGGATAGCCAAAAGGAAACTAATGAATATCTTGAACGTACGATATCAATGGGTTTTATTGATTCTAATGGTATACTAACTGATTTGGTTAAATCGAATTAGTATTTGATGCTCTCAATCTATTTAATTACATTTAACTAAGAATCATTTTACTTAGAGCTAAATATCTGACTAAAAATATTAATAAATATACAATTAATACTTACTCAAATAGCAAAAACATCTCAATTCATTATATGACTTCTTACTTCATCTGTGGATAGAGAGAATTGGACAACAGTCATTACTTAATGAAGAACGATTACTTACCATAATATGATAGAAGTATATGTATGATGAACACTGTCAGTATCGAATAAAAAATGTTCACTTTAAAGAATTAAATTTCTATCAAAAACTGTGTTTTTTTTGAGCTTTCAGAAAGTATTTACTACATTATATAGTTGAATAATATATATAGAACCAGATTGTTTTATTTACGTATATTTACTTTAATAATCCTGTTCAAAGATACAAATTTCATTTTTCTCTCGTCAGTTCGCAGACACTTATATTTATCTTTACATATTATACTATTTATATATAGATATATGTTCCTATTTTTCTTTTTAATAATAGAATAGAAAAATAAAACGGTAATACTAGGTGGTTAAGCCGACATGTTTATCCCTCTCATTTTAATTATTAAAAAGTAAAAAGAAAAGCAAGTAAATATATGAATAGTATAAGATGTAAAAGTAAACTAATGCCGAAATGAATCGTTCAAGAAAAGACGCATTGTCAGAAATAATTCTATAGCATTATTAAAATAAATATATTCAATTTCTTTTTTTAATCGAATACATACGACAACAAAAGAAAGAATCAATTAATTTAATCACACTCGATAGATTTTTAAATTAGATGCGGATATCTGAAATTCACTATAAAATCATATAATCTTCTTTACATTTAATACATGTCTGAAAAAAAGACGCTGAAAAACTTTGGAGAAATATATAAAAGTCATATTCACATGTAAATGCTTGGTTTTTGCTAAAAAGATATCGATAAAAATTCTATTGAAAGAACAGAGATGGGCAACTCCGGGGGTACACCACTCCAACTCCACCCAACTCCACTCCAATTTTCTAAAATTCAACTCCAACTCCAGTTCAACTCCAACTCCACTCAACTCCAACTCCATTCAACTCCACTCCAATTTTCTA